GACAACGTGACAGAGTAATGTAAGGTGTGTGTAGATAGTGAGTAATTGAACTGCAGTCACAGGGTATTGTTGAAGTTAAGGTTCCTTCGTTATAGTGTTTGTTTTAGCGCGAATATTGAAATTAAGTGTATCGTAAAGTTATATTCGGAAAGAATAAACCAGTTTTATTAAGTAAAGAACTTGTGTCGCTAAAGTTTCGTCGGAACGAAGTTACGGAAAGTTAATTAACAAACGGAGACGTAACAACGTGTTTTTTGTGTGTGTTTTTGTTAGCTAAGTATTAGGAATGTTTTATATATTTTTAAATATAGCTTTTCGTGTTATAATCTATAAAAACCTTCATATATTTTACAATGTCATCGTTTTCTAGCTGTTTCATTTGAATAATTTTATATTTTCAGACGTTTTACTTGGACTTCGTGAATTCACAGAGGAATCTGAGATGTCTAAATTGATTCTGTCTACTCCGTTACGTTAGTGGTTACTGCAACGTTTCTTCAACAGCGTGTTTGAATAATTATAAGATACTGAAGACTCAAGAATATCCACTAAATAAAGCATTATGATTCAGTACAACTAGAGTAAAAACAACTGTCGTGAGATAACAACAGTTTGAACGGATATGTGAAAGTATAAAGTGTGTGTGAAAAATCATTTTATTACGTGTCGATTTGTTTGTTGTTTTGCTTATAAATCTAAATATTTATCTGAGCCTTATTAGACTTCTTGGTTGATAACTTTTGCGGCAATAATTTTGTTTAATATATATATATATCAAATCTACCTGTTTAATTCTTTGTTGGAGAAACGGTTAAACGTATCATACTTTGTAGGTAAATGGATTTCATATCCTAAACGTTGTTGTAACACTGACGACCTCTCGACACAAACGAAGCGAAAACTTGAACATTCGTTATTGGTTGTTTAGTTATTGCAACGTTTGTTGAGTTATCAAGAGCATGGATTCGATGTAAAAAAATAATTTGATTTACATCAGTTTAAGTTTCCCAGAAAAACTGATATTTTATCCTTTCTTTTTCAACTTTTAAAGAGATTATATGTTTTAAATTAATTATACTTATCATAAGACATTGCTATTAGGCCTATTATACTTTTAAACACTAGATTATTTATCCCATCTCATTAGGGAGTTTCAATAATTAGAAGAATATATAATAACCAACTTCACTATATTCGATTCCCCTCGGTGGACACAGAAGATATCCCGATGTGGCTTTGCTATAAAACAAACACACACACACACACACACACTCGTTAATCGAAAATCCCTAAGGGACTGGATAAAGAAGGTAGCGTTTAAAAATATAATAGGCCTAATATTAACGTCTTTTGACAAATATAAGATCATATGTGTTGTTGAACAATCCTGTTTCTTTCTTTTTATAAGTGTCTGTTTGGTTTGCCAACTACAGATAACTCACGTGTCACATGTTTTGTACAAATAAAAAGAGTTCAAAGGTTAAAAATGAATATTTGTTTTAGTATTATTTCTAGAGTAGTAAATGTATTTAAAGCTACCTTATATCTCCTAAGCTGGCCGAATATGTAGAAGTTTTATATACATCTAATTAGACAGATATGATAATTTATCAATATTAATAACTGGGTTAATTTTTAGTTCTTTGATCAGAAGTTACTGATATTTATATATATTATACATTGAAGTAAATGTCATGCTTGCATAGACTATAATGTAAGTTACTGCCAGCTTAGTATTATCAAAACTGTGTAAGACTTAGAGTAACAAGAACAACGAAGTTCGCAATCACAGTATGAAAGTATGCTTTGGATATGCTGCTGTTATATCTTTATTGATATAATAGATTTAACTTGGTTTTTTATTTTAAATTAAAGTGAACCTCATGCGTTTCATACACATATAACTAGTCATGGGTTTTTTGTGCTCTTATGTATTTAGGGATGAAAAAAAAACCAGAAATACTAAGCAACATCTTTAGAACAGAACTATCCACTTTTTTATTCTTCAGACTTTTTAAAATTGAATGCCAAGTTTGAATATTTGCGCATAGATGTACACAATAACACTTTATTTTACTTAGCATATTGTCTCTAACCCTAAACTTAAATTTTAAATATCTACTTCACTCTTCTTTTTATTGGGTGTTTTCTTTAGTTATAACTTTGTAAGCCTTGTATCTCATGACACTGTCTAAATTCTAAATGCCAACTTTGAATATTTGAAATTAAAATTTTCAGCACTATTTGCACATAGATGTACACAATAACACTTTATTTTACTTAGCATATTGTCTCTAACCCTAAACTTAAATTTTAAATATCTACTTCACTCTTCTTTTTATTGGGTGTTTTCTTTAGTTATAACTTTGTAAGCCTTGTATCTCATGACACTGTCTAAATTCTACAAATATAATTTCTAAACCTGTTTAAATGAAAGAAATCAACAATTTTGACTGTTAAAAATTTTGCCACCTCTTTTTTTTTCTTTTTTGGTTTTAACAGTTGTACTTTTTTTTTTACGTAGGGAGGAAAATTTAGTTTTTGATTTAGCAAACTCCATTACAGTTGAATACACATTATACCGAATCCAATACTCGTTTCTTATCTTTTATATACTATGCTAAATGCTTTTATTACACTTTAGTATGTCCCACTACAATTGAGTACATATTATATCAGTGACAAAGTTGAACCCTAACTTCTACAAAATACAAGAATTATTGATGACGTAGGACGTTTCGGGGTTCATTCATCAACTGTAAAACTACGAAAGAGCCAAAGAATTTTGAAGAACAAAAAAGAAGAAAAATATAGACATTTCGAATTTGTGCTTTCTATATATTAATATTAGCAATGTCCCGTAAATACAGCCCCTTCACCAGAGGACGTACATTTCTAAAAGAAATTAAGGCTTGGGTGTGACGGCAGCCCCTCCCCCCAGTTGGCGCGACTCAATATACCAAGTCCCACACTTGTTTTTGTGTTTCATAAGTTATGATAAATACTTTTATTACACTTTTGTATGTCTCATAAAAGTTTTCTTTATCAGAATGTTTTTTTATTAAAAACGTGTATTTTACTAAAAGATATTTTCTACAATGTTCGGTACTCACAAATAATTTTAAATAAAGTACCGCAATATTCATAGCTCTTAAAGGCTTAATTTACACATTTAATATCTATAAAATCATTCAAAATATATTCATCACTTATTGTGCTGATTTTAATGGTAAATTATATATTGTTTATAAGAAAACATTATTATGGAAGTATTAAGTTAAAGTAGACAAGTACGTAAGAAACAACGTATATAACTCATTATAATTCAGTACGTCAAAGCCACATTTACAGCAATATTCTGTGTATAAAATGTACATGGAACAATGCCAGTAAGGTAGCTAGTGTTTCTTGAAATAAGGAAGTTGTCCAACAGTTCAGTTATTCGTGCAAAATATAATTCTTTCTTTCTAAATCACTAGATTCAGTTGAGATAGCTTTAATAAGCTTATTGTTTTTATAACAGTTTACAGTGGACACTAACGAAACAAGTTAATGCAGAAAAATAAAACTATACAGGAAGAACTGATTATAATTAATGTTTTCTCCCCCCCCCCTTCTGTTAGATAGACTCTCGTCATCTCAGATTTTAATGAATTTCTTGGATTAAGTATCTCTAAAGGCTCCACACTTCTCATATTAGCGTTCCTAGCCATAACTGCCTCTAACCTTGAAAATGAAACACATGGTTGAGACTGTAACTAGTTGAAAACCTGAAATTAAAGCAACTTTCTAATTCACCCCTTACAACTTTATTCTCCTATCGTAAATGTGTTTGATAGACATGCACAAAAATTCGTGTACCTCAATGCTACTCCTCAAAAATATAATAAATGAAATATATAAATAGTGATAAATATATATAAACTTAAATTATTTACTATTTTGTATTTAAAGAAAACTGTCAGCATATTTTCACATTGAAAAAATATTAGTACCTACCACTATCATTGCACAAAATAATAATCACATCAGTTCAAAATAACTATCTGTTGGATAATGCATATTTGATATATTCAGGTAATTTTTCTAAATCTGCATATAGTTGTTCACTAAGTAGTAAGCATCTTTCCGATACACCAGGGATTGTAAGCATAAACTAATCCTCTTGCTGAGATAAAAGTTACATACTACAATGTCTATTCCATAGAAGCTTGTGCCAGCTGGACCCTGTGTCTGTATCTACTCCTTAGGTGGATAAGCCCATTTCAATGGGTGACAGATACTTGTGCAAGTTAGTACGAGTTTGGAGATTCTCTCCCTTGTATGTTTATTTGGAATAATCGTTGATATAGGTAATCTACACGATTGGGGGATACCACACTAATATCTCGATCTAGGTAAATGTGAAAATCTATTTGTATGAATAAAAATCTTGTCCATTTGTACAATTATGCTTCTCATTTTAAAATAGCATTATGTGTAACATTTCTAGAGCTTGCGCTTTGCAAATGCTTAATTCTGTTGTACAACATAATCTGAACACCATACTTTCACAACAGTATAGCTCATGACTGATATCCTTAAACCTGACATCATGATTCTTCTCTAAGATAAACAAAAATAATATACCATTGTTTCTAAAAAAACAGTAATTGTGGTATGAATTCATAAACCAAAAGAAATCTGTTACACGTAAAACTGTAAACATGATAAAACATTATTACAGAAGTTACTTTATTTATTTATTTAAAGACTGGATTAATTAAAACCTGTCTGGAAAATATGATCTATAATATTTTTGCAATATATCAAGTGTTCTTCTTCTAACGAATTTGTTATTGTATATTTATTTTAATATCAACGTTTGTTTGGATTAAATTAATATTTATAAACATACGTGGCTTATATTGTTAAATATGTATTGCGAAACTCCCGCCTTTTCTCCAAAGTTGTAGACGATTCTCGAGAGTAAGAATCAACAATATATGTGTGTAAGTAAACACTTAAATTTGTATTGCTACGTAAAACTGAAATTTCTAGAACGCCTCCACACGGCTATAAATATAACCAACGCGACGCGCCAAGAAGAGTATCTATTATTAGTTCCTATAGTCAGTGTGCTATAAAACTTCTGAAGCTATAACTGTGATTGTTATAAAGCTTACCAATCGGAAAACTTCAGATATTTGACCAGGAACCTTTACAAAGTTCGAACATTACAAATCGTTTAACTTCGGTGGATTCTCATCGGGCATTAATATTTTTACGAAAACATTACCTAACGTCATCGGTGGAAACCCAATCTCTAACAGACGTAACAGTGAAAGACTAGCTACCTCCCTGTTAAGTGAATCGTATCTACATCAACTCGTAATTCACCCGCTCATCGTGAATCCTCAATAAGATATCAAGGAAGTTCCAGACTAGAAAGATAACTTTATATTGTTTGTAAGTTTGTGAAACTTTTGTTTATAAATCACTGTTTGTAATAACTATTTGTAATAACTGTTATTATAAATTGTAGTGTTGTGTTTGTTTGTTTGTAATTAAGCACAAAGCTACACAATGGGCTATCTATGCTCTGCCCTCCACGGGTATCGAAACCTGGATTCTAGCGTTGTAAGTCCGCAGACATACCGCTGTGCCACTGGGGG